GTTCCGAACCAGGAGGCTGCAGAGCTCCACTGCGGGGGCCCGGAAAGTTCACGCACCCACGCACCCGCGCCCCCGCACCCCGAGGCGAGCCCGCCCCAGACGCCCCTGCACAGCGGTGATGCGCGTCCACGGGCATCTCCGCCCGGGCTGGGCAACAGGGACAGTGCTGACTGGCTCCACTGAAGGACCAGACGGTACAACACGTGCATTTAGGTGCTCGGGAGTTATTAGCAATTGTCATTATGGTTTTGGGGATTTAGGGTCTCATTATCCCGCACCCCGAGGCGAGCCCGCCCCAGACGCCCCTGCACAGCGGTGATGCGCGTCCACGGGCATCTCCGCCCGGGCTGGGCAACAGGGACAGTGCTGACTGGCTCCACTGAAGGACCAGACGGTACAACACGTGCATTTAGGTGCTCGGGAGTTATTAGCAATTGTCATTATGGTTTTGGGGATTTAGGGTCTCATTATGTAGCCCAGGCTGGCCTCAAACACAGGGCATCCCCCTGCCTCAGCATCCCCGAGTGCTGGGAGGATGGGTGTGCTCCTCCACGCCCTGCTTGGAACTAGTTTTCTCAGCTAGGAACGGGCAGGGTCTCCACTCCAGCCCCGCGCCACACCCAGGCGACACCGGTGTCTCTCGGCCCCTGGGGATGGGCACGCCAAGGCCAGTTTACCTAAGTAGGTGTTGTCCTTCTCGTACAGGGCGACGATCTCCTGCCAGTCCTGATGATGGAAGGAGGAGTCAGCCAGAGACAGCGCAGCCACCTTGAAGCTCAGCAGTGACACAGGGAGGCCCGGCCCAGCTCCTGGTGCTGGCTGTGCTGCCCACATGAAGTGTGGCGCCAGGCGTGCTGGTGTGTGTCTGTGATCCCAGCTGCTTGGGAGGCTGAGGCAAGAGGATCTTGAGCTTGAGGCCAGCTTGGGCTACCCAAGAAGAATCCGTCTCAAGAGAGTAAAGGCCAACCCTCCCCGGGTGCAACTCCCAGCACCACAAGAAAGACTGTGCGTCTCTACCCAGCCCTCTTGACCAGAAGTGCTGACCACGAACGACAGGCCCCGCCACACTCGCCTTCATCCGCTGGGAGGAGTACCGGCCAAATATGTTCTTTGTGGAGGCCTCAGTGCCTTTGAGAAGGTCCACAATCCTCAGGCAGTGGAAGTAGTGAATGTCTGGAAAGCAAGGCAGAAGCTGGGATTTGGATTTTTCTTCTCATAGTACTGGGGATCAAATCCAGGGCTCCTCTGCCGCTGAGCTATACCCAGCCCTTTTGATCCTGAAACAGGATCCCCTATGCTGCCCAGGCTGGACTCAAACTTGTGATCTTCCTGCCTCAGACTCCCTTGGGCTGGGACTACAGATGTACAAGAATGACAGCTTTGGGGATTTCCCTGGCCACTGAGGGTGGCTGCCTGCCAGCAATGTGAGCACGAGAGCCCCTCCATCAGTCCGTGTCAGAAAAACCAGCCTCCGCACCCCAAGTAAATCTCCCTTTCTGGGGTCAGCCCTGGTGGCTAAAGGGGCAGTGGCTTGGCCCCCTGCCCAGGCAAGAGGGGACTGGGTGACAGCCGGCGAGCACTCACAGGACCCCGAGAGCAGCTGGGCGATCTCTTCGCTCTCCGGCATGTCCTGGATGGCGGCGTTGATCTTCTCCCGGATGGTCAGCACCAGGCTCTGCCATTTCAGGTTGCAGTGGCGCCGGTCCACCAGCCAGTCTGCAGGGGAACGCGCAGAACACAGCTGTTCCACCACCCAGGCCCATCCTTGGCAGTGCAAGGCCGCACGCCTGGGATCCCAGCACATGGGAGGCTGAGGCAGGAGGACTGCCGCGAGTTTGAGGCCCGCCTGGGCTACATAGCAAGACCTTGTCTCAAGACAGACAGACAGACAGACAAAAAATCCCGAGTTTAGCCAGACCAAGTGAAGGTATTGGCAAAAAGCTGTCCTCATATTGCTTAAGGTATTACGGGGGTCCTCAGGGAGATCGGAAGAAAGAGAAGTCCTAAGAGAGGCCTGGGGCCAAGACTCCGGAGGCCTCACTTTATCCCCAGCAGCATGGTTTGTTGTTTTTTTAAACAGAGCAATTGCCTCAACATGGGGATAAAGAAAAACCGAATTGGTCCTGACATGAAAGCGCCTCTTCTGACCATTCTAAATTCTCCACAATATTTTGCTTCTTGGGTAATTATATCTTTCCTGTTGACGGAGGCTGCTGCTCGACTTCCACCTCCCGGGGCTGGGATTAACCGCGACAAGGCAAAACACAAGCAGGCTACACCAAAACCCAGATGAATGAGCAACTGCAAAGCCCCTAATACCTACAGCGCCCTCAGGACTGGAGCGGGGACACCAGGGTTTTGTTGTTGTTTAAAGCAGAGTCTCGCTAGGCAGCCCAGGCTGGCCTCCAATTCACAGTGATCCTCCTGCCTCAGTTTCCTGGGAGCTGGGATCACAGCACCGCCACACCCAGCTTCACACTGTTCTAAACCTGCAAAGTGCAGAGCCACCCTGCACACGTGACTAAAGCACGACTGATCTCAAGGGGTCTGGGCCATTTCCTGGGTTCAGAAACGCATGTTTTTTCTCTGTGGTGTGGACCAAGGCTTTGTGGTTGGATGGTCTTGGGTTCTAATGATCAAGTTTCTTGGGAAAGTCTACCACTCTGTGTCTCAGTTTCCCAACATGTAAAATGGGGATAATAATAGCAGGGCGTAGTCACACATGACCGTAATCTCACACTCAGGAGGCCGAGGCAGGAGGATCGCCATGAGTCTGAGGCTGCCCTGGACTACATAGTGAGTTCAAGGCCAGCCTGAACTACATAGCGAGACCCTCTCTCAAAAAAAGCAAAGCCATGTGTGCCCTGAAGTGGATGGAAGGAAGAGGCCCTCCCTGGTGCTGAGCCAGTGGCGGCTTGGCCACTAGGAATTCTCGAGGCCCAACCTAGTCTTGGGGTCCTCATTTCCCTACGATGAAGATAGCTTTTTTTTTTGGTACTGGGGATCAAAATCAGGGCCTTTCGCTTGTGAGGCAGGCGAAGGAACCACTGAGCTAAATCCCTGGCCCTTAAAGGTCAGTTTTTACTTATTTTTTTTCCAGCCACAAACCAAGAAGCATACACGTTTAGTCATTCTAAAGCTCCAATTACATCTGCCACTTAAGTTACTGATTACCCTAACACATTTATCCCTCCCCTAAATGATATTTATTTTTTCTTTTATTTATTTTGAGACAGGGTCTCACTATGTGTTCCGAGCTGGCCTTAAACTCACTATGTAGCTCAGGCTGGACCCAAACTGGAGACAATCCTCTTGTCTCGGCCTCCCGAGTGCTGGGATTACAAGCCTACGCCACCACACGGGACCTGTTTTTCTTTTTCTTCGGCATTCTTGGGACTTGAACCCAGGCCTTTCACAATGAGCTATACCCCCAGCCCTTAAAAACAAACACACACACACACACTTTTTTTTTTGGTATTTTGAGATAGGGTCTTACAAAGTCTCTAAATTGCTCAGGCTGGGCTCGAACGTGCGATCGTCCTGCCTCAGCCTCCTAGAGTGTTGAACCCGTGAATGACATGATTTGGTAACGCGCATGCTACACATTTTAAAGCAGAAAACAGATTCAGCAGACTCTCTACATATGTCCTTCCGGCTGCTCTGGGCCAGACCTGTCTGGCCAAAGAGCAAGGCTGGTCGGCGCCTCCACCCAGGCGTTCGGGATCCCCGCCGGCGACGGGGGGCAAAGGGCACCGGGCGCGGGGCGCCCTCCTACCGAGCAGCTTGGCGGTCTGGATGTCGATGGGCACGTGCTGATGGTCCTGGGGGAACAAGGAGGGGACGCGGGCGTGAGCGCGGTCACGTCCCGGCGCGGCCGCCACTCTGCAAGGCCAGAGCGACGGGCTGGGGGGGACCTCGGAGACCAGGATTCCCAGGCCAGGGTCCCGCATCCCAGCCCCGTCCCCACACCTGCATCTTTCCCCCACTTCCGCTTCCGGCCAGGGACCGCTCCCCGCCAATCCAGAGTTCGGACGCAAACAGGTCTCTGCCTTCGGAAGAGCCAATCCGGGGGCACGCTCCACCAGCCGGAACAAGCTCCGCCCACCTCTAGGCTCTGAATGGCTGAGCACAGAAGGGCGGAAAAACAGGGGCCAGCCAATGGAAGTCGGGAGGCGGGCTCTGGACCGGGAAGGGGCGGGACACCCGGAGGGGCTGCAGGGGCGATGCGGTTGCAGCAGGTGGCGCCCAAGAGCCGGTCCCGACAGCTCCCTCCCCAGGAGGCCGCGGGAACCCTCTGGGGGGCCGTGTGGTCCTAGCGCCGATCATTCCCTGCTTTCCTCTATCGTCTAGAGCAGCTCTGGGTCCGTCGTAGCGCTCGCTACGCTTTGCCTTTCCCTTCCGTTTATTTGACAGACCGACCCAGGCCGAGCACTTCCTTCAGGATGAGCGATCGGGACAGGGCAGAGTGGAAAGGAGATGGGGAGGTGCCCCAGATATCGCACTTATAGTGGGTCTCACACACACACACACACACACACACGCGCGCGCGCTAAACTCAGCTCTTGGGAGGCTGAGGCAGGAGGATCACCACGAACTGGAGGCCAGCCTGGGCTACATAGTGAGTTCAAGACCAGCTTGAACTACATAGCAAGATCCTGTTTCAAAGGAAAAAATTCTGAAAAATATGGTGCGGGTCCTGCATCAGTCTGCAGACAGCCTCTGGGCAGTTCAAGGTCTGAGGCAGAGCTGGGGAAGGGTTGGGAAGGGCAGAGGGCGGGTCTAACAGTCAGGAGAGGCTGGAAGGAAGTCATCTCCAGGGGTTCGGGCCCGGCCAGGAGCAGGCGTCAGGGAGGGGAAGGGGGGTTTGGGGGACGTGTGGGAGGACGATGAAGGAGACTTGGCCACCCCGGGGACAGGTGGCAGGGAGGGGGACGGCAATGCCAGGCGCCCTGTGGAAGCGAGCCAAAGGCCTCCTTCTGAAGCTGTGGCCTTCAGGGTGTCTCAGGCTGGCTGAGCAGTGAGTGGCCTGAGGCGCGTTGGGGATGAACCAGCAGTGGTGGGGGGAGATTCCCGGGACCTCGCTGAGCTGAACACCCTGTTTCTGACCCTACCCAGAGACCTGGGATGGAGCTTGCGGTGAAGCCCGGTCGAGAGACCTAGATCCCCACCCTGCACCCTGGGCCATTTCCGTGCTGCTCAGATCACCACCGCTTCCTTCACCACAAGGAGATGAAGCCTCTCCCATCTCAGGGGATTTCTGTCCCGAGCCTTCAATCAGCAAACGGACTTGGTGGGCGTGGTGGTGCACACCTGCCGTCCCAGCACCTGGGAGGCTGAGGCAGGAGGATCACTGAGTTCCAGGCCAGCCTGGGCTACATGGTGACACTGTCTCAAAACAACAAAAAGCACAACTCACAACAAGCTTCAGGTGTGTGTTCTTGTGCTTTGGAATCTGTCTGTGTATAAAACCTCCAGCGCCTTCTAGACTCAGCCGGGAGTGGAGGGCACCCCAGGCCCAGGCTGAGTGCGGAACTGAGCACCTCTTCCAGGCTCTCGTGGGAATCAGGCTCTGACCTCACAGCCTGACTCAGGCAGGAGGAATGGCCCAGGATCCCCCAACACTAAACAAACACTGCACTCACTGGGCTGCACCTCTGTGCCCAGCTTTCAGGGACATCCCAGGGGCTTGGTGCTGCCCCACCCTGAACCAACAGGCAGGGCGCGGCGGGGCGGGCCAGGCCAGACCCCGGGTCTTCTTCTCCTCCCAGGTCCCCAAGGTGGCTTGGAGATGTTTCAGAGCAATTCTTATTTATTTATTTATTATGTGTGTGGGCGGGTACCAGGGATCGGAAATGGGACCTTGTGCTTCCAGGACAGACAGTGGAACCACTGAGCTAAATCCCAGCCCAATTGATTAATCTTTAAAGAGCCTCGCTATGCAGCCCAGGCTAGCCTGGATCTCCCAGCGATCCTCCTACCTCAGCCTCCACAGTACTGTGGTGACGGGCAGTATTGTGACGAGTGGGGCCCATGTCACTTGGTCCCCAACCCTTTTATCCCTCCCTTTACAGCTCTGGCCATAGCGTTCACTCCCTGACCTGGGATGGTCACCCCCGCAGCACAAAGGCTGTGCAGGGCTGGTCCTGGCTCTGCTCCCTGGAGGACTGTGCCCTTAACCGCGGCCGGCCCCAGCGCCTGCCCTTTCACCCTCCTGAGTCATCCGGAAACAGCTCACCGCGCGCTGTGTGTCGTCTCCCGAGGATACCGCGGTGTTTACCTGCGATCCGCAGCACCGGGAGTGGGTAAAACCCCCGTCCTGGCCGCCCACGCCGGCCCCGCCCTCTGCCCAGACGCTGGGCTTTGCCGTGCGTGCGTGCGTGCAAAGACTCAATCCCCGAGGGTGCAGGGCAGGCGCACCCTGCGTCCCAGGACGGCGCCCCCGGCCTCACCCTAGACTCAGGCACAGCAGCCTCACACTTGTGATCCCAGCACTCAGGAGGCTGAGGCAGGAGGAACACCACAAGTTCAAGGCCAGCCTGAACTACATAGTGAGACTCTGTCTCAAAAAATCAAAAATAATGAAAATTAAAAATTCCACCTGAATCATGCCCAGAGTTCTGGAGGCCCAGGGAAGGACGAATGTCCAGTTCAAATCAGGGCTGAAGGCGCAGGGCATCAGACCGCCTCCTGGGAGAAGCAGTCTTTCTCAGGATGGGTGTAAATGGACACGGACCGAAGAGGGGACAGGGAGGAGGGGCCATCGTGGTGCCATTCAGAGAAGAGGGAAACCAGGGGCTCAGAAGTTTATCACAAGAACATGGAGGGCTGGGGATTTAGCTCCGTGGTTCCACCGCCTGCTGCCTGCCTCGCAAGTGCGAGGTCCCGAGTTCCATCCCTGGTACCAAAAAACAAACAAGAGCATGGATGTCCATGGGGAGATCGCAGAGAAATTAGTAGTAGTAGTAGTAGTAGTTGTTTTTGTTTTTATGGTACTGGAGACTGAACCAAGGGGCCCCACGCATGCTAAGCAAGTGCTGTGCCACACTGAACCACCCCTCCAGCTCATTTTTTTTTTTAATTTTTTGAGACAGGGTCTCACTGTGTAGTTGAAACTGAACTGGACCTCATTATGTAGCCCAGGTTGGTCTGGAACTCACAGCGATCCTCCTGCCTCAGCCTCCCGAGTGCTGGGATTACAGGCGTGTGCCACCACGCCCGACAGTGCAGCTCGTTTTTTATTAGTCTTTTGTGGTCCAGGCCTTGAACCCGTGGCGATTCTCCTGCCTCAGCCTCTAGAATGCTGGAATGACAGGTGGGCATCACCTCGCTGGGCTCAAAGAGCGTCACTCAGCAAGCACACTTTTCTTTTTTTTTTCTTTTTTGGTACCGGGGATGGAACTCAGGACCTTGCGCTTGCAAGGCACAGGCTTGGTGCCACTGAGCTAAATCCCCGACCTTACAAGGACTCGGTTCTGAGAACGCGCACCGTTACGGCGGTTTCAGAAGCCGGGCTGGGAGGCACACGTTTTACAGACAGGGCTGTGAAGCGGCCCAGCCGGGCAGGGGCAGCGGTACTCCCGGCTTATCTCGCCTGCCCTCCTCACGCGGCTGACGCCCTGCGGCCCGGAGTTGGGCAGCATCCAGGGCCGTCCCTCCCGGAGGCGGGGCCACACCGCCTGCCCAGGGTTGGGGGCCACTGGGAAGGTCATTGAGGGGCTGAGACCGCGCGGGCTGCTAACCCAAAGGAAACCCCGTCCACCGCCCAGGGAGGGGCCCGCCAGGACCACATGAGGTCAAAGAACTGGGTTTCCTTTCACATTTACCTGCCTGGGACAGCAGGGTAGAGCTAAGGCCGCCCGAAGGTTCCGTTCCTCATTCACATTTTCAAGTTGGCCTGAAGCTCTTGCTGTGTTAGGTCTGTAGCCCAGATTCAAAATTCCTGGCTTAAGGAGCCAAATAAACTCCTAGACTAATAGATCATTATATACTACACGTGTGTGTACATGTGCGTACCAGAGTGATAGAAATAGACCGTGCATCTTTAAATTGAAACTTTTTTTTTGGTGGCACCGGGGATAGAACTCAGGACATCACGCTAGCAAGGCAGGCGGTGGTACCACTGAGGTCAATAAATCTCCAGCCCTCGAAACATTTTCATTACAGTAAAAATGCTTTAGTACTGCTATGAATCTCCCTCAAATTCTTTCCCTCCTTGCCACTTTCTGGCAGTAAGAAGCAGGGCTGTGGCTGGTGGGACAGGTCTGAAAGGCGGCTGGTAAAGATTTAAATTGGGGAAAGGAGCGGGATCTGGTGGTGCACGCTGTAGTCCCAGCACTCAGGAGGCTGAGGCAGGAGGATCGCTGTGAGTTCGAGGCCAGCCTGCGCCACATAGTGAAAGCCTGATTTAAAAAAAAGGGGGGAGAGCATGGAAGGGGGAGCTGGTGAGGAGCCCCTTCCAGTCCCCGTGGAAGTTTGGGGCACTTGAGGGTGGGGAAACCTCCACAGTCCCCCGAGGGTCTGGGGAAAGTGCCCCCCTCTGCGGAAAAGGCAAGTGGGGGGCTTGGTGAGGGGGAGGCGTAGCCCCCCCAACCCCGGTGGAGGGAGGCAGGCACCGCGGCCAGGAGGAGCGGAGCGCCCGGAACCGGTCTGCCAACCAGTTTAACCAGGACTGGTTTCCACTCGGAGTTCAAAGGCTCCTGGGTGCCTGGCCCCCCCAGGGCTGCAGCCCTTAACCCTTCCGGGTGCCCCTCAGTGGTCCCTGCTGGAGCCGGGGTCTACGCCTCTTGGGGTGTGGGGGACCTTGCAAGAGCTGGGGGTGCAACCAGACACCTGAGAGCAGGGAGACCAAGAGAGAAGCCGGGGCACCCCCCACCCGCCTTCCCTTGGGACCCCCGCTGCAGCGGGGCAGTCCCCGGGAGGACCCGGCTTGGGGAGGCTCAGCGGAGAGGGGCACCCGGCTTGGATTTCTGGGTGATGAATATTCATGAGCGCGGCCTCTGCTCCTGTTTACTTAGCCGGGAGGGGCCGGGTTTCAGGTTCACCTGGGCGCTGCGCGGGGCAGGTTCGGCTCCTGCACCTGTCTCTGTCCGTGACAGCAGCTGTGCCCCCGCTGCCAGGCTCGGCCTGGGCACCCTGAGGGCGCCTCTGCTCCCCACTTCAGCCTCTCCCCGAGGCTTCTGCGCTCGGCTCCTTCTGCAGGGACGCGGCCCGAATTACAGGTACAAGTACCGGGTTACAGAGGGCGGGCAGTGGGGACACTGAGGCGCGGCCCCAGTGCTGCCTGCGGGGTGCACAGCGCCCTCCGTTCAGTCAGGCGGGGGCTCCAAGCAAGCGCTCCTCCCGCCAGCGTTTTCTCTCCGCCCCCCTGGAGCTTCCCCAGCTCCGGCCCCAGTGACCCACGCAGCCTGGACCGTGGGTGTCTGACTGTGCGGTGGGAGCAGCTCCCGGTCCCGTCCAGGGTGGACAAGGGCCATTAGCGGCCCTGCAGAGGAAGAGGGTCCTGGGTTTTGCGCCCCAGTGCGGCCACTTCCTCCCCAGCCCCAGTCAATGGTTAACTTGCCTGGCTCCTGGGCAGCCCTGCCCAGTCGGGGCCGAACTCTTCAGGGCACTCTCAGGACACAGCCAAGGTGGTGGGGCCTGTCGTCCCGGGCATGGCAGGAGGTGGCTGGGGGTGGCAGGCTGTCCCTCTAAACAGGAGGACTTTGATGGGCCCCGAAGCTGTGCTGAGAGGGGAGACACCACTGGCATCCTCAGGGGCTGATTTCCATCTTGTCAGGGATTGCAGGGCCCCGGGCAGGGCCCTGGCACTCAGCAGAGCCAGCCAGGGGCGGTTGGAGCCGACTGCACAGGCCCAGGTTGCCAAGTGCTGGCTGTGTGAAGTCCCCAGGCCCCTGGGGCAGCACATTCCCCCCAGCTTCCTGTGACGAGGCTGGGGACACCCTGCTCTGGCTACTGTAGTATCTGGATGTCACCCCCGCCTTTTAGGTCAAATTTTACACTCTTTTGTGCCCACTGTTGAAAGATTCCTACTGCTGGATTCCTGTGTAAGACAGCCCTCCATCCTCTGTCTTGTGAATTCAGTTTTCACATCCCAGACATCCCTAAGGGGACAGACACCCACTTGCTGAGCCTCTGGCGTCCTCCTGGACAGAAGGGCAGGAAGGCCTGGCGCAGAGCATCCTGGAGACAGAGGTACCAGTCCAGGACACGAGAGTCCCCGGCAGAGGCCCCGCAGCTGGGCACCAGGCGGAGGCTGTTCGTGTCTGCACGGTTTTCTGCCGAGCTCCTGGTGACCTGGAGCTCTCTGTGCTCCAAGGAGGGTCAGACACCTCGGTGCCACCTGGAGCCGCGCTACCTGCTACAGCAGGTGCATCTGGACTGGCACGGGCGGGGCTGTGTGCTCGCAGGGAATGGTGTGATCGGAGTGGGGCTAAGGGCTGGGCCTCCTGCCCCGCTATGCCCCGGTTCTCGGGCACCTCCAGACGCCAGTGGCTGGGTCAGGGCGCCGTTATGGCAGTGACCGGGCACTCACAGATCACGCCAGCCCCACCCCTCCTCCCGCCCTCCTCAGCAGCCCCTGCAGAACGGCCTGGAACTCTGAGTCCTGTGCAAGGTGGTGCTAAGCCCGGGCAGGGAGAGCTGCCAAGCAAACCTCTCCCAGTGCCCTCCAAGTGGCCGCCACACGGGTCTCCCCAGGGCTGCTCGCACTACGTGAGCCTCGAGGAAGGGGCAGAGTAGGGCAGCAGGGGGGCTGCTTCCTGGACAGAGAGGCAGGAAGGTGCCTCCCCCAGAACTCAGGAGGGTGAACGGTGGAGCGGAGTCGCCGGAGGCGGCTGATGCAGACTGACCACTCCTTCTGAACCTTACTTTGTTCTCAGCTGGCTTTCATGCCCCTCTAAAAATGTTCACACCCATTATGGTGTTTTGTTATTTTATCAATTTATTTATTTTGGTTTTTGGAGACAAGGTCTCACTATGTAGCCCAGGCTGGCTTTGAATTCATAGTGATCCTCCTGCCTCAGCCTCCCAAGTGCCAGGATTACAAGGGTCCACCACCATCATGGTGCCCAGCCATAGTTTTTTTGTTGTTTGTTTGTTTGTTTGTTTTGGTACTGGGGATTGAACTTGAATCCTTGCGTTTATGAGGCAGGCAGCAGAACCACTGAGCTAAATCCCTGTCCCCGCCAACCATAGTTACTATGTTTGGTTTTTTTGAGACAGTGTCTCACTATGTAGTTCAGACTGCCCTGGAACTCACTGTGTAGCCCAGGCTGGTCTCGAACTTGAAGTGATCCTCCTGCCTCAGCCTCCAAGTGCTGGGATTACAGGCTTGTGCCACCATGCCCAGCTTCAGCCATAATTATGTAAAGTCTAGATATCAGAAAACTAATTGAGAAAGCATTCTCTATTCCTACATAAAGAAAATCACTAATAATCATTTGGCATTTTTAAAAAATTTATGATACTGGGGGTTGAACTCTAGTCCTTTGTGCTGAGCTACCTCTCTAGTCCTCTTTTTTTGGTTTTTTTGAGACAGGGTCACTATTATTCCTACATAAAGAAAATCACTAATAATCATTTGGCATTTTTAAAAAATTTATGATACTGGGGGTTGAACTCTAGTCCTTTGTGCTGAGCTACCTCTCTAGTCCTCTTTTTTTGGTTTTTTTGAGACAGGGTCTCACTATGTAGTTGAGACTGACCTGGAACTCACTATGTAGCTCAGGCTGGTCTTGAACTCACAGTGATCCTCCTGCCTCAACCTCCTGAGTGCTGGGATTACAGGCGTGCACCACTATGCCCAGCTTCTAGTCCTCTTTCTACTTTAAGGACTTTGCTAAATCGCTAACTTGCCCAGATTAAGGTCCAGCTTGGTGATCCTCCTGCCTCAGCCTCCAGGCTTATCAGGATTACAGGCATGCACCATCACACCCAGATCCCTGTGATATATTTCTTCCTGGTTCTTTCTTACGAGATGGATAAATGACTGGTCTTTTTGGTTTTTAATTTTGTTTTGTGGTGCAGGGGGTAGAATTTAAGAGCATCCCACTTGTGGGGCCAGGGCTCTGCCTCTGGGCTACGCCTGCAGCCCGGAAATCAGCTTTCAAAGGTGCTCTAGTGCCGGGCCCGGCCACCTGGCCATCCAGCTTTGGTGCCCTTTGGGTCCTGTGGGTGCCTCCTGGAGCTGTCACAGTCACACCTACGAGTGCAGAGAACCTGACCCCGAGCCCAGGCCGCCCTGGGCACTTAAACTCTGGGCCGTCTGGTGTTGTAGACCTTTGTCCCCTGTTCCTACCTCCCACGCTGGGTCTCCTCCCCGCCGAACCTCCGCCAGCTCCCCCAGCACTCAGGGCCCAGCTTGTGGGTGGAGGAGCCTGGCTTTCTCTCCACGCCCCTCTCCCGCAGGGGGTTCAGCCCCGAGGGTCACCGCGGGGACCCCAGAGAGCGCGGCCATCACAGATCCTAGTCAAGCTGGCCTGAGCGTGTCTCCCGCTGACCACTGTCCCCCCACCCGTGTCTCCCCACCGTGGTCAGGAGCAGCATGACGGAGGTCGGGTGGTGGAAGCTGACCTTCCTGAGGAAAAAGAAATCCACGCCCAAAGTGCTGTACGAGATGCCCGAGACCTACGCCCAGACGGAGGGAGGCCCCGAGCCCCTGCGGCCGGACGCCGGAGGCCCCGCCAGCGACTTCAGCACGCGGCTGGAGAAGATCGTGGACAAGAACACGAAGGGCAAGCACGTGAAGGTCTCCAACTCGGGTCGCTTCAAGGAGAAGAAGAAAGTGCGGGCCATGCTGGCCGAGAACCCCGGCCTCTTTGACGACCGGGAGGACAAGGGACAGTGAGGGGGGCCCGGCGGGGGGGACGCCTGTGCCTCCCTGCTCCCTGCTCTGAGCAGGGTCTAGACAGGCTCGCCACACTGGCCTCTTGGTCACAGCGGAGGCCGAGGGGACCTTATGTCTGCCAGCAGGAAGTGTTGCTTTTTAAGAGTTGCACTGATGTCCCCAGCTCTGTGTAAGCAGGGGGCATCCCGGGCTCTTCCCACCGACCCTGACCAGGACACGAAGGGCCTCCAGGTCCAGGATGGTGGTGGCCGGGCCCGAGAAGGTGGGCACAGCAAGCACTGGGGAGACCTCCACCCCCAGGGCACCTCTGCCGGCCGCCACGGGACTGGCCACAGGCTGCTGGCTGGTGCTGCACTCAGCTCCCAGCCCAACGCAGGTGGTAAACTTCCTGGAATTCGGCACCCAGGGAGCGGGGGTGGAGGGCCTGAGAGCGATGGGCTGGGCCGGGCTTGAGTCACACACCTCAGTGGGCAGCCACCCGGGCCACTGGTCCAAGCTGGGGTCGCTCTGGTAGGAGCTAAAAGCAGCCGGTTTTCTCTCCTCCTCCCCTCATTGGTGTTTAAGATGGATCAGCCCCAGAGATGAATTCTGGAGCCTTGAATTTTCTTTACAAGGTAATTGTATTTGTGGATTTCTTTGTAATAACAAAGCGCAAAAGCAGAGAACATATGTGTACTCTCACCTTGCATTTATGGAGGTGGCTGATTTTTAGATAGCTTCATACTGTGTAGTTCAGGCTGACCTTGAACACAGTGATCCTCCTGCCTCAGCCTTCTGAGTCTGGGATGACAAGGGTGCATCACCATGCCTGGCTATGTTGGAAACTTTTTTGTTTGTTTTTTGAGACAGGGTCTCCATATGTAGTCCAGGCTGGCCTTGAACTCACTGTGTAGTCCACGCTGGGCTCAAACTTGTGGCAATCCTCCTGCCTCAGCCTCTGGAGTACTGGGATGACAGGTGTGTACCACCACACCTGGTTTGACCTTGGGAGCATTTTTATAAAGAGTCCTCTGAGCCTAATTTCCTTCCTCTCTAGCAGCAACTGTATAAAACATGCTTCATAAGAAGAGTCTGTAGGAAGTGGCCTGCAGCAGTCCCATAGTAGGTGCTCAGTTAAACACTAGTTCCTGTCCCCTCCCTTTGTTATGGAATGCTGCCATTCCCACGGCTTCAGTTTAAGAACGAGGCAAGAGCTTCCTTCCAAGAATGTTAGGTCTGGCTTTTTCTCAAGCCACAAGAGCTAAGAACTGGAAAAAATGGCCTGTATCTCTGGAGCTCACGGTGGGAACAGGCAAAGACCACAGTGGCCACGGAACAATGTGGTCCTGCAGCTTCTAGGCCAGCTCCTTGTCAGCTTCGGGGGACACCCCACCCCGGAAGCTGTTGCTGGGGAAATTTATTGCCAAAACAAACAGGCCTGGACAAGGGGGCCTTTGTTCTATGCCTCACCCAGTCTAGGGGACGCGGGGACTGGTGAGGCAGACCGGGGGCTGGGGAACCAGAAGGCTCAGGGTGCTGCCTCCCCCAGGCCTCCTCCTGGTCCCCACTACCAAAGCTTTGTGGGGTCTCCCAAGCCTCCCTCGGGGAGCCCACATTCTCAGCCCTGCCCCCTGGTCTGGTCCCTGTCTTCCGGATGAATTAGCAGAGGCTTGGGGGGTAAGCAGGCAGACCCTGGGCCAGGCGCTCACCGAGGTGGCACAGGCTCGCGTCAAGAGCTGTGGGCATGCCTGATCCCGGCCCTGCAGCGGCTTCCACACCGGGCTCTCATCTGCCAGGACAGGCGGCCACTGCTGAAGGGGACGGGAGAGAGGGCAGGGTCCAGGTCTCAGGAGCCTGGCTCCCCAGGCCCCAGACGGTGGTGCCCCCCGCCGTGGCCCATCTTGGGGTTCCGGGCCAGGGTGAGGGTGCCCCGGCATGGGTTCCTGTGCTCCCTAGCGCCGTCCCTGTAGGGCCACCTACTCCCATGTCACTGTGCGCTCTTCAGGAGGGGGTCTGCAGCCCCACTCTCTGCGTGGACTCCGGCACACTTGTGGGGCGCCTTGCTGGAGCCAGGCAGCGGCGGGTGCCGAGCGCCGAGCGGGGCGGGAGGAAGCGGCGAGAGCAGCCCGGGTTAAACATTAGCTTCGCGCGGGGCTGGGGCTTTCGCCGCACACCTGGCTCGGGGAACAGAAAACTGCAGGACATCGGAGCAGTCTCAAAGCTGGGGGACACGCAGCCCCTCAACACAGGTGGGCGCAGCGCCTCCTCTCGCTCGTACGCAGGAGGCACAGCGCCGAGCGGGGCGGGAGGAAGCGGCGAGAGCAGCCCGGGTTAAACATTAGCTTCGCGCGGGGCTGGGGCTTTCGCCGCACACCTGGCTCGGGGAACAGAAAACTGCAGGACATCGGAGCAGTCTCAAAGCTGGGGGACACGCAGCCCCTCAACACAGGTGGGCGCAGCGCCTCCTCTCGCTCGTACGCAGGAGGCACAGCCCAGGGCGCTAAAAGAAGGCTGCCTCGCTGAGGGCACCGCGGGCTGCCCGGGACTGAGTGCGGGGCGCACGCAGAGGCGTGAACGCGGGGCAGGGCGGCCCTGCAGGAGCCCACGGCGCACGCGCGTTGTCAGGGAAGCCGTTTACAGAGGACCAAGTCCAAGGCCAGCGGTGCCAAGGAGTCTGTTCTCTGCTCCTGGCTTAGTCTCAGCAAACATTCATCAGCCTGGCTGCTCTCCATGGCAGCGGGCCGCTTGCCCTTGTCCCGGGGCAACAGCTTGTGGCCGAGGAAGCGAGTGTACAGGGCGTGGTGGTGCACACCTGTGACCCCAGCCCTGAGAGGCTGAGGCGGGGGGATCGCTGTGAGTTCGCGGCCAGCCTGGGCTAAGATAGAGAGACCTTGTCTCAAAAACAAAGAAGCAAATGCACCGCAGCAGGTGGGTTATGTAAGAGAGGTGCAGACGGGGGAAGGTGAGAGCTTTGTTGGTTTAGACGTTGGGCCACTGCATTCAGTGCCTGGGCGTCTGGTCAAAATTCTGAAATGGACCCAGTCGGGTCTGGGGTGGAACTGAGTCTGCACCTCCGATCGCCTCCCTAGTGACGCTGCAGTGCTGGCCCAAGGGCCACCGAGGAGAGCAGCACGGGTCGCTGACCAGGATGTAGGAAGCCGGCTGCACTCAGACCTTTGAGGTCGTGGTGGGCGCGGCAATCCGGAGTTTTAAAGCTCCCCAGGGTGGGTGAAAACCAGGGATGTAGGAATCACCTCCAGGAGAGGCGGGGAGTGCAAATCTTTTTCATAAGTTTATTCTTGGATAATGAAATCCGTACATCTGTGTGCCCTCTACACACACACACACACACACACACACACACACACACACACACACACAGAGTTTGCACAGGCGACGACACACACGTAAAGCTTGAAGGAAGCCGTCCGGCTGAGCAGCAGCAGTGTACTTTCAGCGCCCTGTCTGGCCCGGACTGCATCTGTCTAGGGAGAGGACTCTCGCCACCGAGCAGACCGCCGCCCATCCCACCCCCGCCCGGCAGCGAGGACCCTGAAGACGCCCCAGACTGGGGACACCGACGTCTCTGGCGCTTCTACCGAGGGCCGCTTGGTGGCGCCAAGGGTAAATTTAATCTCGTTTCCAACCACTGTGCTTCAAATAGCAGAAGGCAGCAATCAGTGTGAGGGAAAGGCTATAAAAATATCCTGTCGGTGAGGGAGTTAAGTTTTTTTCCCTTTTTGTTATAAATCAATTCTAGTTAGTTTGGGGGGGCGGAATATGCAGAGGAAGTGGGGCGTTTCAAGGTGGGAGGAGGAACACAGACAAAAATGGGGCCTGGACGGCTCCCAGGGTCCACTTAACCACATCACTCCCCAGGCTCTGACTCTCTCCGTTTCAAAGTCAAATTATTATTTAAAAAAAAATTATTTTATCTTTATTTTTCATTTGGGAATGAGGTCTCAGTAAGTTGCTAAATTGCTCAGTTGGAGCTTGAATTTGTGATCCTCCTGCCTCAGCCTCCCAAGAATGCTGGGATTACAGGTGTGCATCTCCATGTGTGGCTCAAAGGCCAAATTTGTTGATGAGGAATCTGATTGGCTATTCTGGCTCAGGTAGCAAGAATGCCATGGCAAGCGACAGGGTTGCTAGTCGCCACAGCGGCTGCCCTGGGGAGCTATCTGGGAAAATCCACAGGCAAGGTCCAAAACCATGGAGGCTCTTTCTTTTGCGGTTGTCTCTGTGACACCCTCCACTCAGCGGCTGAGACCCAACTGGGGACGGCTCCAGGGCCCTGAGAGGAGGGACAGAGGGAGGGAGGAAGACGCTGTGCGGAGGCGACGTCTCCAATCACGGTGCCAGTCTCTCGTAGAGCCAGCCTCCCTCCCCACGGTGGGTCATGGGCCCCAGGGAGGAGTCCCCAGAGGGGGGGCCCCGCCGGAAGACGATGCGGTCGTGCAGTCGGTTCGTCTGGCCCTGCCAGAATTCTATCACTTGCGGGTACAGCACGTAGCCTCCCCTGGGAGGAGAAGCAAGGTCTCATTATGTGGCCCAGGCTGACCTTGGACTTACACGATCGCCCTGCCTCAGCCTCCCGAGGGTTGGGGTGACGGGAGGGCGCCACCACGACTGGCTCTCTTGAAGGGAGCTTTGGGATTTGCCTGACCAGGGTTCCCAGGAGAGGAAGATCTATAGTTCCACACATGGGGTCTGGGCGTCACTTACCAGTATTTCGGCTTGGGCACCTCCTGCTCCCGGTAGAGCTGCTCCAGTTCCTCATTTTTCTTTCGCAGATGCTGAGGGAGAGGAAGCCGGGAAGGGCGGGGGCAGTCACTGAGCACGCACTGGTGGGGCCCTGGGTGATGCGGTGGGGATCCGGAGGGCGCAGGAGCAGACGCCACTCACCTCACGGTCGGGGATCACGGAGCTCTGGCGGCTGACCACGGCTCCGATCTGGCTGCTCTTGGGGCGGGAGTGGAAGTAGCTCTCGGCCTCGGCCTCCGGCAGCCTCTGCACCGGGCCCTCCACGCGCACCTGCTGGGGCAGCCTGGCTGGGTGGGTGGAGGCCCAGGCCCTGCCCTCCATTCTGGCTCCAGCAGCCCTAGGTCGGAGTGCCTGGCACGGCCGGTGTGTGCCCCGGCTGGGGACCGTCCCTGGGCTCAGGCACAAAGTGTCCCTTGCCACCCCACCCAGGCTGTCCCCTGTGCTCATTCAACTCACCTGGCGGTGAAGCGGCTCCCAGTAGAAGACAAGGGAGGCAAAGGGATTGGAGTCCTGGAAGTGACAGAAGCCAGAGGCTGCCATGAGGCCAGGGAGCTGGAGTGGCTTGTGGGGGACGCAGGGGTCCAGGGCACAGGCCCTCATGGTGCATTCACTGAATGGAACCTCATCAAACCCTCAAAGCAAGCCTAGTGTGGTGGTTCGCCTGGCATCCCAGCACACAGGAGGCTGAGGCAGGAGGATTGCCATGAGTTCAAAGCCAGCCCGGGCTACATAGTGAGACTCTATCTCCAAAAGGTAAAAACAAACAAACAAACAAACAACTCCAAAAGCAGACCCACTGTCACAATTGTGGAGGCAGCTCAGAGAGGGTGAGTAACACGCCAAAGCTCACATGGTAGAGGGCAGAGCGGGGCAGGAGGAGTCTGACTCCAAGTTCAGGCTTAGCCACACCTCTCAGCCACAGACTGTGGGCGCACACAGTGCCAGCTGTGTCCAGAGGGAGAGGTGTGGGGGACGACAGGGATGGCACAGGTCCTCCCGCTCCTCCCGCAGAGCTTCCGGTGTGGCAGTGGGACCGACAGTAACCCCACACCACATCCCCAAGCTGCAGCCACACACTCAACACCCAGCAGAGAGGGAAGCTGGGAGTTATAAGGACAGAGCGCAGCACAGGGCCTCTCTCGGGGTCAGTCCAGGAGGCTCCTCAGAGGAGGCAGCTTCTGGGCTGAGAGCTGAAGGAACAGGAAGTATCTGTCAGGGCTGGAGTGGGGCAGCCCACTCATTCCCAGCAAAGAGGAAAGGTAGGTGCAAAGGCCCGGGGGCAGGAGGAAGCGGTCAGAGAGGAGTGGGGTCGAAGGGCGGAGGGTCTGGGGACCGACTGAGGCCTCACCAGCTCCTTTCCTTTCCGGCTCTCATAGTTGGTGAAGAAGCGGAAGCCGTCTGGACCAAAGCCCTTCAGCAGCAGCATGCGGGCAGAGGGCTTGCCTTCCCTGGGGCACACAGAGAAGCATGTATCAGGGCCCATGGGTCCCTGCTCCATCCCCTCCTGCATGTGGCTGGTGCCCCCCACACCACTCAGCGGAGCCTCCTCACACCTGGCAGAGCAGGCAAGCACCATCAGCCCAGTGACAATGGGGACATCGGGGAGGTGACCGAAGTTGAAGGATGCCAGAGAGGAGGAGGAGTCAGAGCAGGGCTGTGTGCAGCCCCTGGGAAAGGCGGAGGCCTCACCGGAAGTCAACCAGGACAGCACCTTGACCAGAAACTTCCACCTCCAGAACTGGGGAAAACAAATTGCCTTTGCGGAAGCTGCCCACGGAGGGTACTTGGTTATGGCAGCCATAGCACACAGATAAGGCCAGGCTCCAGGACTGACGTGGATGCAGCCAGCGCGTAGGGCTCACAGCAGGCTCTGAGATCAGGTCCTCCACTGACAGCTTGGGGGACACCAGGGGGCCAGGCAGGACCCCTGTGCTCAAGGCCTTTCGCTTTAGTGGAAGTGCAAGCAGAGCTAAATAAGCGGCTGATCCAAGAGGTCTTGGAGGGCACGCAGCTGATGCCAAATGGGTGGGCCCTGTTCTTGGGGTCAAGAGAGGGATCGAACTTCAGTCATGGATCCGTCCCAGGAGGTGCAGCTCTGGGGCTGGGGTCCTGGGGATGGAGCCCAGGCCTTTGCACGGAGCTCCATTCCCGGCCCTTTTATAGTTTTATCTTGAGATGGGTCTTACTAAGTCACTAAGGTACTCAAGTGACTTCAAACTTGCGATCCTTCTGCCGCAGCCTCCCAGAGTGCTGGGATGACAGGCTTGTACCACCACGTCTGGCTGAGATGTAGCCTTGGTCAGATAGGGAGACAAAGCAGGCAAGGGGTTACGCGTATCAAGGACAGGCTTAGTGGCACACGCCTGTAATCTCAGCACTCAGGAGGCTGAGGCAGGAGGAATGGAAATTCAAGGCCAGCCTGGGCTACAGTTAGTGAGACCCTGCCTCAAAAAAATCAAGAGGACAGAGATGTACAAGGCAGTGCATTTTACCACTGAAACAGGATTTAGTGGTCTGCTCTTTGGTATAGAATAAGGACATTGAGGTCCAGACAGGAAAAGTTACTTGCCTGAGGCCATACAGTGTTTTAATAACAGAGCTGGAACCACAAAGTTGGCCTCCACTGGGTTTCGTAAGATCTTCCTGGGCTTGGACTTCTCTGTTCCTAATTGTACCGGGCCGCATCTGTGCCTACCTCGTGCAGGTAGCCAGACACATTGCGTTGGCTTCCCCTATATCCGGACACTGGACAGCTTCTTCGAACCAGGAAGCAAACTGCTTCATGGGGTCCAGGGAGGCCAGGTGAGTCTCTTCAAATGCCTGGGGAAGGAGTTTTATTTTTAAGAAAAATACATAGTGCATATGATATACCTGGCCCTGACCTAAATAAACACTTTGTTTTGAGACAGGCTGGCCTCAAACTTGCAGTGACCCTCCTGCCTCAGCCTCCCGAGTGCTGGGATTACAGGCGTGTGCCACCAGGCCTGGCTCTAAGTACTAAGCACTTTCCAAATATTACCACTGTTCC